TACAAACATCACTAAACTCCTGTAGTATTTCTGCCCCAGGCAACGACCGTGTCACGTATGAAATGTTGAAAAACCTGCCGCTCAAAACGCGAAAAACTTTACTCTCCCTATACAATGCTATCTGGCTTTCTGGCACCATTCCTGCTTCTTGGAAAGAGGCTATTATTATCTCTATTTTGAAACAGGGCAAGGACCCTTCCTCAGTTTCGAGTTATAGGCCCATTGCACTTACAAGCTGCCTTTGTAAACTTTTTGAAAAGATGATAAACCGCTGACATTTACATTTTCTGGAAAACACACAATCTGCTCGACAGATTCCAGTGCGGGTTTCGAGAGGGTAGATCTACCACCGACCATCTGGTGCGCATTGGGGCAGAGATTGGAGACGCTTTCGTCCACAAACAATACTTACTCTCTGTGTTTCTCAATATCGAGAAGGCATTCGACACAACATGGCGTTTTGTCATATTAAGAGACTTGTTTCACCTGGGTGCTCGCGGTAGAATGCTTTCCACAATCGAGAGTTTCTTGTCCAATCGGACATTCCGTGTCCAGTGTGGGCAGTATTCTCTCCCAAACATTTGTCCAAGAAACGGGAGTACCGCAAGGTGGTGTACTTAGTTGTACACTTTTTATTATCAAAATGAATTCTTTGCATCTGTCCATCCCCCGTAGTATGTTCTATTGTACATATGTCGACGTCTAGCTTGGCTTTCGCCCCGTCGCGGTGGTCTAGTGGCTAAGGTACTCGGCTGCTGACCCGCAGGTCGCGGGTTCGAATCCCGGCTGCGGCGGCTGCATTTCCGATGGAGGCGGAAATGTTGTAGGCCCGTGTGCACGTTAAAGAACCCCAGGTGGTCGAAATTTCCGGAGCCCTCCACTACGCCGTCTCTCATAATCAAATGGTGGTTTTGGGACGTTAAACCCCACATATCAATCAATCAATCAATCAATCAATCAATCAATCAATCAATCAATCAATCAATCAATGTCCAGCTTGGCTTTAAGTCGTGAAACTTGGCAATGTGTGAGCGGCAGGTTCAGTTAGGTTTAAACAAGGTCTCCAAAAGGGCAGAGGAAAACGGATTCCGACTGAACCCACAAAGAAGCACGTGTCTTGTTCTCTTGAAGGAGAGGCATGCACTCAGAACCCGACATTAAACTGAACGGTCAACGTCTGTCTGTTAATGCGGAGCATAAATTCTTAGGCTTAATCTTGGACAACAAGTTGACCTTTGTACCGCACATCAAGTATTTCAAAACAAAATGTTTAAAAGCCATGAATGTTTTAAAAGTGTTGTCACGTAGTATGTGGGGTAGTGACAGGCAATGTCTCATGAATATGTATAGAAGCCTCATTCGCACCAGCTTAGATTATGGGTCCGTTGTTTATCAGTCTGCGTCTCAAAGTGCCTTGAAGATGCTGGACCCCGTGCACCATTTAGGCATCCGCCTTTCTACGGGTGCTTTTCGCACCAGCCCCGTAGAAAGCCTTTACGTTGAGTCAAATGAGTGGTCGCTTCATCTGCAGAGAACTTGCATGTCCTTTTTGTATTTCCTTAAAGTGAAAGCAGACAAGAAGCACCACTCATACTCTACTATTAATGATTTGTCAAGCTCCATTCTGTTTTAAAACAGGCCTTCGATGAGGCAGCCCTTCTCAGTTCGCCTGAAAGGTCTAGCTGAGGAAACTGGTGTCTCACTGGAACACAGTTTAATGGCTCCTGTAGCATACCCGCCACCTTGGCAGTGGCAGACTATAGAATGCGATGTGTCTTTCCGAGAAATAACAAAACACGCGCCCATTGCCCATATTCGAACATACTTCCTGGAACTTCAACACAAATACACATGTCCTAAGTTATTTACAGATGCCTCCAAGTCTAACTCCTCTGCGTCCTACGCTGCTGTCGGCCCATCCTTTTCGGATGCTGGCCCTCTACATCCAGGCACAAGTATCTTCACAGCGGAAGCTTACGCGATACTTCTGGCAGCTAAGCACATCAAACAATTACAAATACAAAAAGCAGTAACTTATACGGACTTCCTCAGTGTGGTAACGGCTCTGCAAACCCTTAAAAAACAAGAAAACCCTGTCCTCGTCTCACTTCACTCCATTTTATGCACACTCTACACACTCAAACAACATGTTGTAGTGTGCTGGGTTCCAGGGCACCGTGAGATTCAAGGCAATGTGATGGCGGATCAGCTTGCTGCATCCATCCACGAAAGCACTACCACTACACCCATATCAATCCCGGCCCTTGATCTGAAGCCGTCTCTCAAACGAATGCTCAGGGACTACTGGCAGAGCAAGTGGGATAGACACACACAAAACAAACTATACATTATTAAGCCACACCTTGGCTATTGGCCGCCAGTATTAAAATCACGTCGTACAGAGGTAATACTAATGAAGCTCAGGATAGGACACACATACACGACACACACATATCTTTTGTCCGTTGGCGATCCACCATTGTGTGACAGATGTTGTGAAGCACTAACAGTTCTTCACATTTTAATCCAGTGCAAACAGTTAGAAGCTCTAAGAAAACAACACTTTCCATTACCCTATTGACAACATATGCCTTTACACCCTGCAATGTTCGTCAGTAGGGAACCACTTTTTAGTCATGAATCATTGTTAACTTTTTTAAAAGAAATTCGTAGTTTTCATATCATATACCAGGGCATTCCGTAGCATGACCTCTCCAGAGAGTTTTTCGCTGCGGTGGCTACACTCAAGAAAGCACTTGCCTCACGGCCCTTGGACGCAAGGGTATGAACGAGTGAGGCACTTGTGCTAATGCCATACATGTCCATCATCGTTTTCTATTATCACCAACTTCTGTCATCTATTCACACCACACACACCTTTCACGGCATGGTCATGATTTTATTACTTGTATGTTTTTACCCGCCTTACCGCGAGGAATTTTATGGCCCTTATACAGCCGCTTATCACAACCATTGTCCATATCTTTAGTAAGATGAACTGGCGCTCTTTGGCCGTGAAATGACCCTTGCGCCACAAAACATCAAACATTATCAGAAATGAAGGATGGCAGTAACGGTGCTCAGAAAAAGTGGGGAGGGGGGGGATTCAGTTTCCGGAACAGCATAGCAAACAGGTGCACATGGCTGCTCATCAAGCATATGCATGTACCGTATTTACACGATTACACGATTGTAAGACGACTCGAATGTAAGACGACCCCCCCAAAATCGCATCTCAAAAAAAAAAAAAAGACCGCGCGCATTTTACACAAGGGAAATTTATTCACGTGGTTGCGGAGGATTATTCATCGTCGCTGGAGTCGTCCTCGCTGGTGCTGCTGCCGTCATTGCTGCTGCAGTCCCACAGCACGTCGTCGTCAAGTGTGAGTCCACACTTCGCGAACGACCGCACCACGGCATCGCGTGGGACGGCCGCCCATGCGGAGAGGACCCACCCGCACACAGTAGCCAGGGAGGCTCTCCTCACACGCCGGCTTGGCGTAAGTTCGCGGCTTCCTGACGAAATCCACTCGTTGTATTCGCGGCGCAGGAGGAGAATAGCAGCCCGCTTAAACGCTGCCGTAAACGAGCGCCGAGTGTTCTTCGAGCCTACGGCACTCATGTCAGACAGAAGTGACTCGAGAGAGCCGGTCGTGGACACAAGCGACAGGAGCACGGCGCACGCGGCGACGCGCCCGCTTAGAAAATTGTATCACAAAGAGGAGCTCTTCCGTCAACTACCAATACCCCCTACGGCGGCTCTTCCATCGATTACCGGTGCTCCCTCAAGAGCCGTGCGCTCGTCATAAAGGCACTCGTAATGCGCGCAGTAGATGCTAAAAAAAGAAAAGCTTTTGTATAAGCACGCGGAAAACTATGCGCTTTGGGTTGAGCGGGAAACTATTCGAGATGACAATACATGGGTTTCGATTCTAAGACGACCCCCCAACATTGGATTGTCAAATTTGAAAAAAAGGGTCGTCTTACAATCGTGTAAATACGGTATTCTCGTTCATTTGGCCGTTGGGCTTCGCACTTATCGACTCACTGGTGGACGCTCGCACGTTCAGGAAAAAGGAAACATGGGCGGCTCTACATAACTAAATAAAAGCCGCAGTTGCATCGAAAGGGTGAAGCTACGAATGCGATAGCAGCAAATTGTAATGTTCTTCCCGAAGCTCATCATCCTCGGTTCCGTCAAGCGCGCTCGATTGCCCCATTTTCTTGGAGTTCTTGACAATGCTGGGAGAAACTGGGTCTCACGACACGGCGATGCTGGAAGATCTAAACAGCTGCACATAACTGAAAGGCCTTCAAAGGCAGAAAACTTGCATCAGCAAGTGCGCTCTCTTCTGCTTTGTCACGAACTGATCGTCACATGTTGAAGTACGTCGTTGAAGGATGGTGAAAACTATTTCTGAATTTGACCAAGCTTGCGTTGAAGTGCGGACACAGAGAACGAGAACATTTTGCACGCGACAGGCTGTAGCTCGCCTCCGATGCAGAAAGTTGTCAGTGGCATGACGCGAGCGTGCACTATCGCTTTGGTAGAGATGGGGAGATAGATGGAAGCAAACACTTAAGCAGTTTCGGTGACCAGTCAAGAGGTTTGAGGTGTTTAGGTATGGTATTCTAGGGACCCTAGTTTGGGAAAAGTCCTCGCAAGAAGGGACTTGCCCGTTTGACTGCTTGTCTGCTCGGCGAGGCGTGTGCCCATCCGAAGCATTGAAAGCTCCAAAGTGTCTTGGGCGTGGCCGGCGAGCTGGATCGGGCGAGTCAGGGAGTGCAAAATATGCGAGTAGATATTTTTTTTTAGCTATGCCGGTAAAGTTTTAAGAGTGCACAAATTATGCAAGGGCGCCAACTTTGCGAGTAAATAAGGCATGTACTTGACTTGGCAGGACAAGCTCATATAGGTAAAGAAAAAAAGGAGGGGAGGTTTGACTTGGCACTACTGATAACCGTTTCAGTGGCGTAACAGTGCGCTTCTTTTTCACCAGGGTCACAGCCATAGCGGATCGTCTCAACGTGGAATTCGCCCTGATTCACAAGGAGCGCAAGAAGGCTAATGAGGTGGCCAGCATGGTGCTGGTGGGAGACGTCAAGGACCGAATCGCCATATTGGTTGATGACATGGCCGACACCTGTGGCACCATTGTCCATGCAGCTGACAAGTAGGTGCCTCTTCTCGCTCATACATTTTGTCAACACCGAAACATTGTGTGCTCACCATGACACTGGCATAGCATCTGTGCCTGCCACACTGCTTGGACTGATATGGGCTAATATCTGCAGCATCTGTTGCCTCAGAATTAAGGGGGGACGCGGCTTTGGCATCGCGAAATTTGGCCAAAAAATCGATTTTTCTGAAAATCCAATTTTCACATTCTGTGACACCTTTTTCTATCTAATTTCGAAGTTTCGTCCCTGAAAACAGCGTAGAAATGACGTACAAAATTTTTATCAAGCTAGGGTGGTGATGAATTTCACGGAAATTGCGAAAAAACGGCGTTTTTCGAACCGCAATATCTCTGCAACCACGTAACCTAGCGCCGCCATCTTTGTCTCTATGGATAGCGCGATTCTTCCGTTTCAAATTTGCCGCCTCGGCCGGCTGAACCAGGCAAGAGCAAGCCCACAGCAAGCCAAAGTGTAAAAGTATCACAACAGTTTCCGATTGGCGACGCGCGTCACGTGACTGTACGGCGGCTCCGCATTGGTCGCCCGTGCGGTCGCTTGTAGCAATCGGCGCAAATGTCGTCTGCTTTACGCGCTGACGGGCCGCTTACTGCATTTGTTTTCAACTCGTCGCGGCGTGGTTTCGTGCGGATCGCTTGTAGCAATCGGCGCAAATGCCGTCTGCCCTACGCGCTGACGAGCCGCTTACTGCATTTGTTTTCAACTCGTCGCGGCGTGGTTTCGTGCGGTCGCTTGTAGCAATCGGCGCAAAGGTCGTCTGCTCTACGCGCTGACAGCGCTGACGGGCCGCTTACTGCATTTGGTTTCAACTCGTCACGGCGTGGTTTCGAGATCGCATCGCGCTGCGATAAGACCGGCGCTCGTGAAAGGAGAAAAAACGTTGTTATCCAGTTTGGCGCGGCAACTTCTGCGAGCAGCGACGACGGCGTGCGGCACGACGAGGACTCGCAGCCGAGCACAAGCACGCATGGAGCATCGTCCGCGAGCATCGACGAAACTGTTCATATGCCTGTGGAGCAGTGCTTTGTGCTGTCTGAGGAGACATCCGTTCGTCGTTCCGCACAGGCTGCAGACACCGCGGATGCTAAGCCTAGCACTTCGCGCGAGGATGTATTCATCGCGGATGCCCAGCCAAGCACTTCGCGCGAGGATGTAGATGCCGCGGATGCTAAGCCAAGTACTTCGCGTGAGGATGCGAGGCCGTCTACCAGCACCACTAGTAGCACGATTCGGACACTAAGGACCGCACTGCAAAGGACACTAAGGACTACAACTCTGGTGCCTATTAGGCATGTAAACCGTGACTCAAGACTTTGAACCTCGTTTTCTCAATACTGTTTTTTTGGCATGTTGCTCAGCTCGTGGAGCAGATATCTTCGCAACTACTTGACAGATTTTGATTCTGTTTTTCTTTGTAATGCTCCTTGAACTGTGCTTCAGGGGGCTGCGTTTTTATTTTTAAAATTTAGCCTTTTAAAAATTTTTGGTAGGGTTTCTTGTTTGTAGTGCGAATGTGCTCATTGAAGTATCAGTGGAGAAAACATGAACTACAAATTTTAGTGTTGCAAAAAAATTATTTTGAAAACGCAGCCCCCTAGAGCATACATTCACCTCTGCACACAGTGTTTACCAACTTTCTATGTCATTTTTTAAACTCTCCAGCCGCTCCACGAGGTCCAGTAATGAAATTTAAGTTTTCATGATATCATATTGAAATTTTTATGGAAGCATTATGAGGTCATTTTTAGTCTTTGTGCCAATTTTCATCAAGATCTAACCAGAAACAAGAAAGTTCGTTTCGAAAGGCACGTCCCCCCTTAAAACTAAACAGTTCGGATTCTCTCTTGACATGGATACAGAACGAATAACGCTAAAGAGGAATAGAAAACGGGGCAACACTCATCACCCTGTTTTCAGTAGTTGTTTTTTCACTGGTGGTCTGCAGACCTTCTTATCTATGAAAACAAGATTAGGTTGTAGTGTTGCTGTGCACAATTTATCATAATTCTGTAAAAGCACGTGCAACCTGTTAATGTGCACATGATTTTTCGATTACTATTGCACATTGTCTATGATGCACCTGTTAAAATTCTCGAACAAAGCTGTCTTTTATAGATTAGATACTAGCATGGTATTTAGAAATACTGTAGTAAACGGTCATCGTTTGTGGATGCTTGTTAATAAGCTATATGTAGTTCAATTTGTTGTTCAGTTGATGTGCGCATTAGTAGTCCTCATGTTTTCCACCTGAAGGAGCATCTAGTATTTACTCACGTAATGAACCCACTTTTGTTTTGTTTTTTGGGAAAGTTGACGTTGCACTCAGCACTGCCCACAGCATGACGAAGTTCCACAGCAGCATCAGCCATAGATTTCGACCCCACTTCTGTCACTGCAGAACGCAGAGACAATAGTTTGACGCAAGCAGAGTGACGAGGAGGAGCGGGCATGTTCATGACTTTGGCAAATGTTTCCAAGCACCTTCATGCCGTTTTCCTAACTGGCGCATCATGTAAACGAGAGGAACATTATTTTCATTAGCACGTCCCACTTTTCTAGACGTATAAAATGGACGCTCGAACCCACAGCCAGTACTCACGACCGCACGGGTTGAGCATATCCATTGGTGAGAGCGTTGCTCGAGCTTCAGCTTTGGGTTCATGCACCCAGGGCATGTCGGTGACAAAAACACCGAAAAAAGAATGTCAATGTCCACAAGCCTGTTCCCTTGGTGCGAAGAATTCTGCAGCGGAGACTTTTATGTTTTCGTAATGTCCGCAAGCTTCCTCGCGGTTGCCGAAACACTTGCCCCCGTTTCAGGAGGCAGCCTCGTCGTCGTGTAGCGATTTCTACCAAACTTGTGCTTCTTTGTCATCAGAGTTCTGCACTTAGCGATGCTAGTCTCAATATGGTCCAGGTGGCCTAAGAACACGCACGTTGTAGCATTTACACGTGGAAAAAATACAGAACGATGCCTGACATTCTAAGGTAAACAACAAACATTCCACGAGCATCTTGCATCCCCCTTGTCGCCATTTTAGAGATTTAATGACAATTAGAGGCACAAACATATATAATGACATCCTCTCATGTAACAGTCAATATAGAATTCATGAAGTATTTTGAATATTAATAGTGTAGGCGAGAAACACTTTCGTAACCAACACATTGTGGTTTTGGTTTCAGTATGCAAGCATGGGGTATAGAAATCTAGCTGTAACTCGCATACTAATTATGATAGGATAATTTTTATTGCTACATATTTTTTAATGTTCAGCCTGCTGAAAAAACAAAAAGAAAAAAATACATCTCACAAAAAAAATTTTTTTTTGAAGGTGGCCTACCACCTTAAGTCGGTGTCACATGCGAGCGATTTTGCCCCAAGAGTAGAGCAGCAGCCTTCGCACGAGCCCAAAACGGGTTCTTTGAGTGGCGACTGGACGCTGCGGTGAATGTTGTTAGAGTTCGAAAAATTCGCTCACGGCAGAGCATCCAGTGACGTGTATGGCACGTGTTGCTAGGGGCGGAGTCGAGGAGTGGACGCACATGCTGCGAGCGACTCGCATCGACTGAGTAGCAGACGACATTTGTCCACTCTTCGGCTCAGAAATGTCTCGCGCTGTCTTCAACGAGTTACCCACTGCAGAAGTAGTGAAACGTCCTTTTCTTAGGGGAAGCCAAGATGAAGAATTCCCGCAAAAAGCATAAGAAGAAATTGCCGAGCTCCTTAAGGGGGGACGTGGCAAGTAAAACTAATTTTTTTATTAATGTACTGTTTGTGATGAAATTTGGTGTGTGTATGTGGATGATTGTGAGGATTCCAAATATGAAAACCGTTTTCAAATACCTCTTGTACTTTTTGAGTTACAAGCATAATTATACTAATTAATGCTCTTCACACTTAAAGAGATAATTATTGCTAAATGAAATTATTTTTTCATATTATTATGTTCCCAAAGCATCAACTTGTGCAAAGAAGCTATTAGTTGATTTTTCTAGTTCTTGTAACCATAAATAAAATTTCCAAAACATGGATGTTGTTTTGCGCACACATCGCAGTAATTATAAAAGTGTTCTAAAAATTTTAAATGATGAGTAAGAAGAGAGATAAAGCTTTATTGCACTGCTAAAGGCCTCCTGAGCCTAGTGCAAAAAAACGGAACGACTCTATCAGTCTTTGTTAGAAAATGACAGATGTTCTAGCGAAGGCACATAGGCGAAAATCAAGAGTTGAGAAAACTGACTTTGAAAGTTCACTCTTGTTTGGAAGTTCACAAACATGCCTAAAACACTCAGAATCCTCCTGGGCAGTAATCCTGAGATGCTGTGGCCTTGGCCTCTGTAGAGCACAACCCAGTTTTGCGCTTCTTTGTCGTGGAACAATGCGCCTTTTGAGCCCTCTTTACCCTTTTGGCATCCTTTTCGGCTGCTCGCCGCAAAGAGCAGTCTCCTGGATTGAAGCCCAGTCGAGCAGTGATCTCTTGCAGCGCACTCTTGCAGCCACCATTGAAACGGCAGACTGCATCTGCAACTGCACTTTCCACTCGCGATATAATGTTCGACGCGCGCACGCCCGGAGTTTCAACGGCTGCCGACGCGGTGCCACCGCAATCGGGTGCGCGAGAGCGTCCATCACGGTCGACGGCATCCGGCGGTCTGACATACGACGATGTGGCACCTTCCACACTCTCGGCCTCACAACAATCAGCGAAGGGTCCGAGTAGAGGCTCCGTGACGCTTGAAGAGCATGCTCCGTCCGGAACTGCGACTGGGACGGCAGCCGCAGTCGTCTGCCCTTTGTTCCAAGCTTTCCGACGCTTGCCGTACTTGTGGACGCTCCGGAACTTTTTTTGCGGCAACATAGCACCGCAGTATGAGCAAGCACTCAGAAGAGACCACCGATGTAACAAAGCTTGCTAAAAAAAGCACGCGAACTATCACAAAAACAGCAAACTGGCAAAAAAACGAAGCGCAC